ATTACCCTGGGTTGATTTACTGTTGATTAGACTGCGGAAGATCTGACAGTAGCTTGAAATCTCTTAAGCTGACCAAGCCCTCTCAGTCTAACTACCCGGCAGACAACTAGTCTTCATCGGGATAAAAAACTGAAGCAATAAGCACAGAACTCCACTACTGGAATTGGATTCCAGTACAAAGCAGTAAACTGGCTAACTCTCGTATAACCAATCTCCTACTACTAAATGAAGAAGCTCTAACAACCTAATCAGATTCTATCTATCTCAGGTTGCAGCAGAAATCAATAAAAGCTGATCAGACTTCAATCAATTCAAGGAAACATGCATCATTCGATTAAAACCAAACAGTATAATCAGCCCAAGTCATTACAATCAAATCCCTAACACATAGAACTAGGGTTCTTCATACCCGAGTGAGAGAAGGGTTCTACTCCATAGAGAGAGAGAGGAAAACAGAAATCAGAGTAGTCATACTCATAAAGATGAGGAAAATCTGCTCTGGGATGTCAATCTTCACTCCTGGGGACGCAATCTGGGCTTCAATGGTGAGACATCCACTCCAAATAGCTCCTAGGGTTTGTTCTTCGCCCTTTCTCTCTCTAAAACTCTGTTTTTGCTCTGAAAAGTCGATTCTCTCACTTGTGGCTCGAATTTGGGTTAAAACCAGAATTCCCGACTCACACGGGCAGGCCACACGGTCGTGTGGCTTACCTAGATGCCCAGGTGAGAGACAAAACACGGCGTTTCAAATAATTGGACTTCAGGCTACCTACACGGCCAGGGACACACGGCCGTGTGGCACGCCCAGTCTGCCCTTGTGAAGGCTCGCACAATCCCACACGGCCACATTGTTTCCCTACACGGCCGTGTGGGTTTTATGGGTGCCCGTGTGGCTTCCTCAGCGGCTCGCCACACGTCCGATCTTCGTCCAATCGATCCCGAACTCGCTCCCAAACCTTCATTCACGTACTAGGACCTGAAATATCACAAGCAAGCACAACCTAGCGTGAAATTGGCCTAAAACACGAGAATCAACATCTCAAACGGCTCAAGAATAGGGGTAAGAACATGTGCAATTAACGGTTTATCACTAGAACAAGTGGTCGACCAGATACTCAAAGCGGTCAATCCCGTAGGCAGAGTATAGGTCGACCTCGTGACGCTTAAGGTTGAACTATGATACTGTAGCAAAGTCCTAAACAATGTGAAATAAGGATGGAGTCCCGTCTATTTCACCTTTATAAAAAACGGTCGACTATTCGTGTAAAGAGGTCGGCCTAAATTGATCGAATTAGTGTTTTGCTTAGTTCTCCTTGTCCAATAAGGATTTTGTGTACTTGTCCTTGTCAAATTATGATATTATATATCCTTCACCAATTGGGATAAGTGTTCCCCATACTAGTGAGGATAAGGAATTCGTCTACATTCTTAGATGGAAGTCTTAAGACATTATTCATACTTCGATTTATGCAATTTGTTGGAGTGAAGTTGTAATCTCATCGCTCTTATTGTAATCGTGTGTTGGTGGCGGTTTATTCTTATTCCGGTAGACCGTATCAATAACTGGTCGACCTTGTTTGCTATGGTATGTGTCGATGTCTCGTGTGTGCTGGTTAAAGGTTCTCTGTGGTTCACTTTTTCCCTAATTAGGTCGACCACCTCAACTTTACGGTCGACCCCATCTATGTAATTATGTGATAAGGTCGACCATACAATGGATCCTGGTCAACCTCATTTGTGTAATTTGGTGATAAGGTCGACTGTACAGTGGATCCAGGTCGACCGGATGAGACCTAATTTTGTATGTATGTAACATACAATTCGTATTCCGGTCATTGCAGGATGGATAATAGAGATGATACAGATGATAGAGATGCTGACGAGATTAACTTCGATGAGGAACCTAAGGATGCTCGAGGAGGATCTATGGATAATACAGATGATACAGATGATGAAGTGATTGGGGATGATAAGGAAATGGAGGGTGTTGAAGAAGAATTTATGGACGATGAAGAAGCTACTGAATATGAACAACAAATTCCTTCCATGGAGTTCCAAACATTAGAAGATGCAGAGAAATTTTATTATGCCTATGCTAAAGCGAAAGGGTTTAGCGTTCGACGTAGAGATCTTCGGAGGAGTCGTCAGGGAGTATCAATTGAGAGGTCAATGGTATGTTCGATAGAGGGGAATAGACAGAAGATGCATATAGATAAAGAAGGTCGGACACGACAACATCGTAAGATGACAATGCATTCTTGCAAGGCATCATATACTGTACACTTTGATCGGAATAAGAAAATGTAGGTTGTTTCTAAATTCGAGAGGAAGCACTCACATCGTTGCTGCAATGAAGAAGAAACTCAATTCCTTCGGTCTCATTGAAATGTGAGTGAAGGAGACAGGGCTTTGGCAATAGGGAAGCGACAGTCAGGAATAAAACAAAACAACATTGTTCAGTTCATGAAGAATAAAGTTGGAGGATATGAGAATTTGGGGTACACGCCAAAGGATTTGGATAACGCTGTTCAGAAATCCCGAACAGTTGACGATCTAATAGGAGATGTGCACCAAACATTGGGTTACTTGCAAAGTAATCATACTTCTGATGTTGGCAGCTTCTTCAAGTACACAACCAACGATGAAGGTGAATTAAGCAATCTCTTCTGGTCGGACTACACATCTAGAGCACATTACCATTTTTTTGGATGTCTTGGCATTCGATGCATGCTACAAGCGTAACAAGTACAATCGACCATTTGTTATGATGGTTGGTGTAAATCACCACCACGGTAACATCAAATATGGTTTTGCCCAGTTGGATAACGAGACAATTCCCAACTACGTTTGTGTTCAATACTTTTCTAGAGTGTATAAACTCTAAGATGCTGACTTCAGTGATCACAGAAGGATGCAAGTCTTTGCGTGGCGCCATTGCTACTGTTCTGGTTGGAGTGCCTCACCGTCTGTGTATTTGGCATATTGAGACAAATGATACAATGACCGTTCATAATATTGAGTGAGGAGTTTTAGAGGCACTGGGAGCTTTTGATTAGTGAGCATGGTTTGTCTGCAAATAAGTGGTTGCATAATTTGTACGCTGACAAATTACTGTGGGCAAAGGCATACTTGAAGGATATTTATTTCGATGGACTCCAATCAACCTCACGATGTGAGTCATGTAACCATTGGATAAATGGGTATGTGGGAACTCAATACAACTTACAACATTTTGTTCAGTGAATTTATGAAGCACGGTAGGGGATGCGTTTCATAGAGGTGCATGATGATTATTCTTTTGGCACACGAGGTTGGTCTGCAAGCATGTCCTTCGCACATGGTGTGGGGATATGAATTAATATGCCTACACGACTATAAACGTGCCCAAGCCCACCGCAAGGCGTCCCGGGCCGAAGCCCACTTAAGGAGGCCCAAGCTCTATATAAGGAGGCGAAAGCCTCCAAGTTAAAGGATCCTCTCTTTCCCCTCTTCACTTCTACCATAAGGTCTCTCTCTAAACTCTCTCTCTCTCTCCCTCTACATACCATAAACCGCTTCCTATATCCTACGCGTCGGAGCGTAAATCCCAGGGGCCGCCCCACGCCTCACAAAAACTTCCACTCCCGAGGAGAACGGACGAGGAAGTCCAGATCGGAGCCCCTTAACCGCCTAATACTTTCTAGGTTCAAACAATTGGTGGCCACCGTGGGGCAATGATTTGGAATTCTGATGTTCGATTTTTGAAAGAGGGAATAAATTGGTTCTTCATCTACCAACTACAATCAACAACAACAGCAACTACCATATCCTACGAGGAGCCGCCTGAGCTGTCGACAAAAGGGGGAAAATGGATCGGCGACATAGCGAGATGAAACAATCAACCATAATAAAGAAAGTCAAAAGGAAGAAACAGAGTAAAGAAGAAATTCCACCAACATTCATAGACATTTGCTTTTGTTCGAACAAGGAGAAGAGAAGCCAACTCTCAAAACTCGAAAATAAGAAAATAAGAGAAGTGAAATCCCAGCGACTAGAGTTCCTCGTCTACCACCCTCATCAATTCAATCGAATCTGCCTCTCTCTAGACTGCACTCGTCATCTTCCAAGATAGATCAGATACGTTCTCTCCAGACTCCGTTCGCCGGCGTCATGTTGATGTCGGAGCTCCGACGAAGAATAGAACAAAGTGGTCGCCGCTGTCACCATCACGTCGCTCCAATCCCATCACCTTCCCCTCACTCTTACCCAAGCTTCTCTGACTTTTGGTTCTCAAAAGCATATAACTCTTCTACAGTAGAGTCACATCAAGAAAAAGAAGGATGCTATGTCTCAGTCACACTTTCTCTTCCCCTAGGTAAAGCTGGCGGACGAGTTTCCCCAGGAAATGCTTAAGAAAGGAAAGCGACATCGGAAGGTAGCCCAACTCACTTGGTCTAGCAGCAGGATTCCCTGCAAGAAGAAAGAAAAAAAAATGAAGCACTATCGCCCAGAATCGGATATAGCCACATGCGGCCGTTCAATGGGAGAAAAAAGAGACACGCCAGTTAAGAATCGCTCCCGCTTTGACAGCCAAACACAGATCCGATTCAGACCCAAAGTTCATCTAACCGCCGAAGAGAAGACAGAAAAAGAAGATATACCACCCGAGGCGGGCGCTGCTAGGAGAACAAGGGAATGCCTCAAAAAGGGAATGCCAATGGAAATCGCTCAAGGCTTGCATTTTGAACACACCTTGACCATGCGCTTCACCAATGGAAATTGTGAACCGTAGAAGAATAGAGGCCAAGGAGTCGGTCATCTCGTATGAGGCCTTCATACATATCCATTCTCAAAATTTCAGGAGGAGGACAGTAGGGCTGCCACAACGTCCATGGTGGAAATGCCCTAGGCGATTAGGGATTGTATACAATTATCCAATGGACTTGCTCCATCTCATACGTAGCCAGACGCACAATACTCGCCAGGATTAAAGCCCGCCATGAATAATGCGGCCCACTTACAGTTAAGACTGGCCCGCACCGCCTTCAATCAAACGCCAAGTTAGAACTGCGCTACTCTGTATCTCCCGAAGATTTCACGGCCTGCAAGTAATCAGAGCCCACTCAATATTCAGCCTGCCTTGCACTTCCAGCCCGCCAAGGAACCTGCAACCGCACTTTCCTGTTTCTCCCACCACGCTCAAGCTCGTCTTGAAGTTGAGCCTGCCAAGCATTCGAAGCCCAACCAGGCCATTACTTGAAGGAAGCGGCCCGCCTCCAACGACCCACCAATCACCCGGCCGCCTACAGTGGACCGCCACGCATCCAAAGCCCTCCTTCAACGGCCCACCAATCACCCAGGCGCCTACAGTGGACGGCCTCGCGTCCAAAGCCCGCATGCAAGGTTCAAACCACTTCCGGCCCACTTCGCGATCCTCAGGCCTTGGCGACGTCAAGCGACTAAAAACGCCTGCAAGGAGATTCGAACACGCGTCCTGAAACTTAGTAGCAAGCGCTTAACCAGTATGCTACAAAGCACTTCATTCACCAATATTGCAACGCTCAGAATTTGACTGTTATGCTGCGTCTTGCGGCTCAACCGCTCGGCCCAAGCTTCAAGCACGGCCCACACATCAACCGCTCGGCCCAAGCACTTAGCCATCAAGACTTATTAAAAAATGAATGACTAAAACGCCTCTATCAAGCGTAGATACCAAGGACCACACTTTCATATGCAAGCACTTCAACCAGTATACTACAAAACCGCTTTGTTAATCAAGGACGCAACAACCAATATTTAACCGCTTGCCAACTTCTCTCAAGCTAAGTCAACTTCATAGAGATATATCTTATTCAATGCGCTTTCCGCAACATGATAGAGTATATTTATACTTTAAATATATTGGGCACTAGCCAATTGTATCTTTCCCGAATACTTGAAGACTCACGCCTCCGACCTCCGGGCTAGGCTCGAAGATTCCCGCCTCCGAGCTACGCTCTCTCATAAAGAATGCTTCCCGCTTCCGAGCGATGATTCCTCTGGGGAATGCTTCCCGCATCCGAGCGATGATTCCTCTGGGGAAAGCTTCTCACCTCCGCCGAGCGATGCACCCTTGGGGTATTAATTCATGCATTCCGCCTCCGGGCTAGGCTAAAAACCGCCTCCTAGGGATGCACCCTTCGGTGATTGATTCATGCCTTCCGCCTCCGATCAAGGCTCGAAAACCGCTTCTAGGCGAGGCTCCCCCAAACGAATGCTTCCCGCCTCCGAGCAATGTTCCCTATATCAAATGCTTTCCTGACTCCAAACGTTGCTGCCTCTAGGGAGCGCTTCCCAAGAAGTGAAGGAGCAATGCGCTTACCAGGAATCCGAGGAGCGATGCGTTTCCCAGGAAGACGAGGAGCGATGCGCTTCCCAGGAAGCAGAGGGAGCAATGCGCTTCCCAAGGAGCGAAGAAGAAATGTGCTTCCCCGAAAGCAGAGGACTAATGTGCTTCCCAAGAAGTGAAGGAGCAATGCGCTTCCTAGGAAGCCGAGGAGCGATGCGGTTCCTAGGAAGTCGAAGACTTAAGCGCTTCCCAGAAAGCCAATGACTAATGCGCTTTCCAGGAAATCAAGGACTAAAGCGCTTCCCAGAAAGCCAAGGACTAATTCGCTTCCAAGGAAGTCGAAGGAGCAATGCGCTTCCTAGGAAGCCGAAGGAGCGAGGCGCTTCCCAGGAAGCGAAGGAGCGATGCGCTTCTCAAGAAGCAAAAGAGCAATGCGCTTCCGAGGAAGCCGAAGGAGCGATGCGCGTCCCAAGAAGCGAAGGAGCGATGCGCTTCCTAGGAAGCCTAATGAGCAAAGCACTTCCCAGAAAGCGAAGGAGCAATGCACTTCCTAGGAAGCGAAGTAGTGATGCGCTCCTCCGGAAGCGAAGGAGAAGCGCACCCCAGAAAGCCGAAGAAGCACTAAGCTTTCCAGAAAGCTGAAAGACTAATAATTGGTCTTGCCTCACACAAGTAAGACATTAACAAGACACATGACTTCCTGACAACATGGACGCGACATTGGTGAGACACGAAACAAGAGCATCTTGAGTTAAAATTCTCAAGCCGTGGGGGCCACCCTACCTAGGTCGCAATTATGGTCTACTAGCGCTAACAACAATGGACTAGCGAAGGAACTCTTAACGACTTGAGAGCTTTGATTCAAGGCATCGAAATCCAAGCAAGGGGCAAAGGAAATGATCACGCAACTCGCACAAGAAGCAAACCGCATCATTCGGATTCGTAAGTAAGGAAAATTAATACACGATTAACGCATTAAGTTACTCCTTCCATTCTTACAGAATACAAGAAATAAAGGGGCAATTGTGGAGATATGGATTAATATGCTTACACGACTATAAACGTGCCCAAGCCCACCGGAAGGCATCCCGGGCCCAAGCCCACTTAAGGAGGCCCAAGCTCTATATAAGGAGGCCAAAGCCTCCAAGTCAAAGGATCCTCTCTTTCCCCTCTTCACTTCTACCATAAGGTCTCTCTCTAAACTCTCTCTCTCTCTCCCTCTACATACCATAAACCGTTTCCTATATCGTACTAACTTGGGTGTCGGATCGTAGATCCCAGGGGCCGCCCCCCGCCTCATAGATTCTTCCACTCCCGAGGAGATCGGACGAGGAAGTCCAGATCGGACCCCATAACCGCCTAGTACTTTCTAGGTTCAAACACATGGGAAATGTAACCTGAAAGTATTTACACACATCGTACATTTGCTATCTTCAAGTCTGAACTAGAGAGTGAAACTTCTTATGTATTAGCGGAGAAAAGAACTGAATCAGATGGGACAGAGACATCCATTCTGAAGAACTGCATGAACCCGGATCGAATAAAGAGGTTAACATTTACTACGACCAATCAAAATCTAAAATGTGAGTGTGCATTATTTGAATCTAAGGGTTTTCCTTGCAGACATATGCTTACAGTAATAAAAAATATGGGATACACCGCACTACCCTCCACGTGGTTCAAGCTTCGATGAACCCAAAATGCGAAGACACTATATCGTCATCCAGGAGTTGGAGGTGATGTGGGAGAGAAAGTTGGTCGACTGATACGACACAGAGGATTGTCTCTAAAGTGTAAGTGTTATATGACATCGCGTGTGGTAGTGAAATTGCTTTTAATCATGTCTCTAAGTCGTTGGATGACCTTACTCAATGGGCAATTGAGTTCTCGATGGAGAGAACGAACACCCCCTGCCCATACAAACCCTCTAGCTCCCCTTCGAAGTGTGAAAAAACCAAAAATTGGGAAGACCAAGGGGACATTCAAATCAGCACAAAGTGCATCGGGCAAAAGCATAAGAAAGTGTTCGAAATGTGGAAAATTTGGTCATTTTCGCTCTAAATGCTCGAAAAAAGTCCCAAAAAAATATCTTAAATTTCTTCTATTATTTTTAGGAGTTTATTTTTTTGTAACTGTGATTGCATTATTTTTTTCGAATTATCTTAATAATTTATGAGTTAGTTGATTGGTGGCTGACCAAACCGGTTTGTATGACAACATCAACCCAAACCCTATCCTTCCATTCCCTATTTAAGAAACCTCATCCACTCATTTTATACCACAAACAGAACCCTATCCCACCACATCTCCTATTCTTCCGCACCTTTCCCTTCTTCTTCTTCTTCTCCAATTTCAAAAATCCCATAGGAGAAGAATCAAAACCTCCATTGTATTTCATCCTCATCTACTAAAAAGAAGAACAAGGTGGGTATTTCAATATTTCTTTCATTTGTTTCGAGTTTTGTGTTCTTCATTGGTAGATTAGATTGTTTTTAAAAAAATCTAAAGTTGGAAAAATAAGGTTTTTCTGTTATGTTCGTCAGAATCGGTCGGCCTAATTTTCTTTATGGTCGACCGGATCTAAGGTCGACCTATGATGTTACTAAGGTCGACCGATTTACTTTTGCATTCCAAATGTTAAGCGTATGCTTTGATCCATTCTCGTTTTTTATGAACCGAGGTCGACCTGTGATATTTTGCACTCCAAATTTTACGCGTTTGGTCCCATTCAATCTCGTTTTTTATTCACCGAGGTCGACCTATAATGTTTATGAAGTCGACCTATGACGTTTTTGCCGAGTTTAGCCCTTATACTTCGACCATATTTGTGTGTAATTAACTGAGGTCGACCTATGATGATTTTGAGGTCGACCTATGATGATTTTGAGGTCGACCTATGACGTTTTGCACACAAAATGTTACGCGTCTTGGCCTTCTTCTTCGACCAAGTTTGTTCTTGACTAACTGAGGTCGACCTATGATGTTTTGCACTTCATATTTTACGCGTTTGGTTTAATTCATTCTCGTTATTTATTCACCGAGGTCGACCTATGATGTTTATGAGGTCGACCTATGGCATTTTTGCAGAGTTTTGGTCTTATACTTCGACCTATATTCGTGCGTAATTAACTAAGCTCAACCTATGATGATTTTGAGGTCGACCTATGACTTTTTTACACCAAATGTTACGCGTCTTGGCCTTCTTTTTCGACCAAGTTTGTTGACTCACTTCTACTGTCACTCCAGGAATTGGCCAAGTGAAACCACTTCCTAAAGTGTAGTATAGCGGGTTTGGGTTTAAATGTCAACCCGGGTCCTAGATTTGATGACTACTTGGTGAATTCTTGTTATCTAGCAATGAAACTTTAATGCAAGTCTAAACTAACAAACAAGCAAAGCAAGTAAACTGTTGTATTCAGGTTAAGAGAGGTCACCCGGATATGGTTCCCCCTAGACTGCAGTTAAGCCGGATTGTAATTACCAAGTTTAGTTTCTATGATAGTTATACTGCGGAAGGTTCTTAAGCAGTCTGAAGTCTCGACTAAAGGTCTCCAGACCCTCTCAATCTGAGTCTCTAGCGGGCGACTAACCTCCACCGGAGTAAACAGATTGAGGCCCTAACGAACAAAACCTCCACTACCGAAGTAAATTCGGTACAGAATAGTGAGTTGGCTCCTCGACTAAAGTCACTAACTCCCTACCTTCAATCAAGGATGCTCTATCAACCTAGGCAGATATTCTCATTCTAGGTTAAAGCAGAAACAACAGGAATTTGATCAGGATTCATGCCATTCAATCATTCAAACCTCAATCGAATATAATCAAATCATAGAATCAGTACTTGGGTTCATACAATCAAACCTAACATACAAATCTAGGGTTCTCCATACCCAGATGAATGGGAGAACTACTCCATGGAGAAAGAAGCAAAAGCAGAATCAGATGCGGAATTCATACTGTGAAGGATGGATTCCTGCTCCTGGACGTTGATTGGCACTCCTCCAAGCTCAAGCCAAGCTCCAATGGTGATGAAGATCAAGCTAGGGCACTTGGAGACTCTTGTTCGTCGCTTTCTCTCTTTCGGAATCGCTCTATCTCTCTCAAAACTCGAATCCCCCTGATCTTTGGACTTCTTTTCCTTTAAAACATCTGCCTGTCGCGATACCCGGTCGAAATACCCGGTCGGGTATTTTGGGTCTCGACCGGGTATAGTTGAAATGCACGTTTTGAGGAAAGGAAAAATACCCGGTCTGTCCCAAGAATCCCCGGTCGGGGATTTTTGCCTCCAGCCCGGGACCCCTCCTGTTTCTCACGGGTGCCAAAACAATAAATACCCGGCCTCCTCAGAATAATACCCGGCCGGGTATTTTTGGTCATGGCCGGGTATTTTCTTCCTCCAGCACACTTCATGCCTCACTTGCTCCTTTCGATCCAAATCTCGTTCCTTCGCCTCGATTCCAATGCCGGGTCCTGAAATACGACATAAACACACACCCTCGCGTGAAATCGGCTTAAAACCCGAGAGTCAACCTCTCAAACGGCTCAAGAATAGGGGTGAAAATATGTGTAATTATCGGTCTATCATTTGTGCTTGACTAACTGAGTTGACCTATGATGTTTTGCAATCTAAATTTTACGCGTTTCGTCCCATTCATTCTCGTTTTTTATTCACCGAGGTCGATCTATGATGTTTATATGAGGTCGACCTATGACGTTTTTGCCAAGTTTCGGCATTTTTCTTCGACCCATAGTTGTCCATAATTAACTGAGGTCGACTATGATGATTTTAAAGTCGACCTATGACGTTTTGCACTCCAAATTTTACGTGTTTGGTCCCATTCATCCTCGTTTTTTATTCACCGTGGTCGACCTTTGATGTTTCTGAGGTCGACCTATGACGTTTTGTACGAGTTTTGGCCTTCTTCTTCAACCCATATTTGTGCGTGATTAACTGAGGTTAACCTATGATGCTTTTGAGGTTGACCTATGATGTTGTTTACTACAGTTGTTACGGGTTTGGGTCGACCCATTCTCGTTTTATAATTAACAGAGGTCAATAGTTTCTGATTTTGAGATCGACCTATGATGTTTTGCACTCCAATTTTGGCCTTCTTCGACCCATATTTGTGTTTGATTTGCTGAGTTCGACCTATGGTGTGTATTAGGTGGACCTATGATGTTTTTTAGGTCGACCTATTAATGTTTTTGTATCGTAGATTTACGTAAATGTTGGGGTTATTGATTTTGCATGTGCAAGCAGAGGTCGACTGATGATGTTAAGAGGTCGACCTATTGTTGTTCTGTTTTATCTATGCATGTAGTGTATAGGTCGACCTGTTCATAGAGAGGTCGACCAAGTCTTGTTCGTTTAAAAAATGTGCCTAACGTTTATTCTCGCTTGTTTGATCTCAGGATGTTTGGCGGCAAAAAGAAAACAAAGTCAAACAAAGTGGCTGCCTAAAGTTCGGAATGGGAAGAGTTCAGCCCCACTCTGTTCCAGACCAATGAGCCAAGTGACAAATTTGAAGCGAGGAGAATGCACAACCGCAAGGTGGCTCCTGGAATGCCATTGACGACAGATGTGTTTTCTCATTTCGATAATTAAGGGTTTCTAGAACTCTTTGTCGAACATGAGTGGCTGAAAGTGATATCTCTAAATGCACCATACTACCCAAAAATGGTACAGTACTTCTACAACAACATCACTTATCAGCATAATGCAAATGGATCCATTCATGCATTTAAAAGCTTTGTGAATGGGGTGGAAATGCGTATCAGCAAGAATGTGTTGGCACAAGTACTAGAGACTCCAATCGAGGGGAAGAAAATCAATTATTACACTGCTTGGAATGAAACTCATTTCTCGAGAACCAAGCAAATCCAGACGGTATGTGGTCTTGATGAAGAGGAAGGTGCTCATAATCGCATTAGGCTAACGAGTAACCACCTGACAGTTCAAGCCAAAGTTCTTCACCACATTCTTTCCTACAACATTCTACTAAAAGGATGATCCTGACTTTGCTATTTGAGCATTTTAATGTGGATTTAAGTGGTGACGTTGGCTTAAGAATCTCAAGGCAGGAGTTATATACAGTTTCATCTCTGAAAAAGATGGGCTTTGAGCTGCGTAATAGTATGTACAAATAAACAATGCTCATGGTGTCCATGGTAGTGATGATGACGAGGATGATGATGGTGATTCTGATGAAGGAGCCGGAGACGAGCAAATGTCGCAATCATAGAGTTAAACTCCACCGGTCACCTTAGAGCTTGTGTGGGAGCACATAAATGGCATGTACGAATACATGGGGCAAATGACCACCCAGATGAGCACACTGCAGGTGAACGTGAATGAGATGCGAGATGAGTTTCGATCTTTCAGTGGAAGATACATGCATCCCATCACATCCGACTACCATAATGCTAGCAACAACAATGAAGAAAATGTGGATGAGAGAGAGAGGGGACAAGAGGAACTCGATGATTTTAGATTATGTGTTTTTATTGTTAAGTGTTAAAAACGATTGTTGATAGTTATTCCATGGTTTTAGATTTTAGTTATATTTGAACCATTCTGATTTGTTTTTTATTGTATTTATTGTTAGTTAGTTTAGTTGTTATGTTATGAAGTTATGAGTCCTTGTTATCATTGTTTAGTTGTTATGTTGGTTTGAAACATAATTTATACGAGCATTGAAATACCCATATTCGATCGACCTAGTACCGGATTGGATCGACCACGAAACCAACACGATCTTAATTTTATGTCAAATATGATGGATAAATGGATACAACACTTCTCTTCAATCTGGTTGACCTCTTGCTGTAAATAGTAGACCATTTTGTTTATGACCGCCATCAAGTGGTCGACCTATATACCTTTACGGTCGACCATGTTGCTTCTGACGCCAACGAAAAGGGCGACCGAGGTTTTATTGTGGTCGACCAAAACTAACAACTTAAACTACAAACGATCGACCATATGATCTTTGAGGTCGATCGCGATGAGCCCCCGGGGTGCCCAAATTAGTCAATTCGGTCGATCGCTGTTACGATCAGGTCGACTGAAATGTCCATGTCACGGTGACATACATGTCACCATAGGCACACCCTAATATATGCGATCATGTGAAATGACTAAAAATGATTTCTCATTTAAAATATGAATGAAAATCTAAAATATAAAAGGCACTTATTTTTTCATTAATTTTATTATTAAAATGCTATAAATGAAAGAAAATTATAATTTTTTAAAATAAAATTAAAATATGATAAAAATAATCTTGTATTTTCAAAACAAATTTTGACAAAAGCTTTGTATTTTTAGAGGTGATTATTCTTGCTTCAACTTTTGAAGTAGAAAAACACTTATAAAAAGCTAAACATAGACAATGTTACTTTAGCCCATAATTCTTATTTCTTTCATTCAACCTCTTTTTTTTTTTTTTTTTGACAATTCTTTCATTCAACCTCGTTCTCCCTTTTTATGTGCTTTCGTTTATTAAACTCGAAAATCAACTAATAGTCAAATTTCACTTCATCATATGCTCGACAGTCAATGTTATCCCTATTCAGCGAAACCCTAACTTTCCTCTATGGTTTACCAGAAGATAAAACATACATTGCTCGAATCTCAATTTAAAAATAATGAGGACACCCCTATCAGGCAGAGTCTACTGTCAAAGTGGGTCTTCCCATTGGAACTCATCTCCAACCCCTAGAGCAACCCTCTCTCTTCCTATCAAAGTGGGTCTTGTTCCCTCATCTTCCTATTAATTCTCATGCCCCTCAATTGAGTAGCTCCCAATCTGTTCTTTATCGGGTTTACCATCCATCATCCCTTCTCTCTTCAGTCCTTTCCTTACCAATTTCCATGAAATAGTTCTAGTTCATGATTTACCTACAAAGCAAGAAATGGTTGTCCTTAGAAATAGCAACGTAATGGATATTATATTTAGTAGAAAAGAGGACAAAAGAAACCAGCTCAAAATCTCATCTTCCAATGGCTCTTCCTTCATTTAGCCATCTACTTTTCAATGGGTCAATTATTATTATTATTATTATCATCATCATCATCATCATCATCATCATCATCATCATCATCATCATCATGGTCTCAAGGACACTTCACTTGGTACGTGTAATGTAAGAGGAATGATTAAAGCATGGTAGGAAAATAAGTAAGGCAAACAGAAAACTCTGCAGAACACAATACCCAAATTCAAAATTCATCAAGAATTAACAAAGGCCCAAAGGAGGTTTTTCAGCTTCTTAGTCCTTCTGATCCCTTGAACCTCTGCTCCAAATCAAAATAAAATACTAAAATTTCATCTACGGTTACCCCATAAATGAGCCATTTGCAATTCCAATTTTCCAGGGTATCAAGACCAAGCAAATAGAGCAATAGAGCACATAAAGAGTAACTCCAAAGCTAGTTGGTTAGCAAACCAAATGCAAGTATAATTTATAAAAGTAACCTGCTGGGATCCGATAGAGTGAGTACTTCTTCCTAGTTCCTTCTTCAATCGGATGACAACATAAATTAGCACTGTAATCTAACAACAATATGGAAATAACAAGTAAATAGCGAGGGCTTACACTGCCCATATCAAACGCCTGTAGAATTTTGCACGCCACCGGTAGAATTGGGTCCAAATCTTTTGCCCATAGAAAATTTAAAAGGAAGGAAGGTAGAGTGCTAGCCAAATTGAGGGAGAAGTAGAAGTAGGGCGACAGGAAAAGTGGAGTATGTGAATCATACCTTCAGATCTCGCTGAAAGGGAGCCCGATTGTCCGGAGATTGATCGTGAGAGGGAAAAGAGGGGCCGTCAGAGCAAGAAAATGAAAGGGATCGAGTTGATGAGCGAGCCCACGAGTCAACTCGAGTAAGGAATCATCTCGGCCAGTGGCCTCGGGAAACAGATCGCAGAAGGGGAAGTCGAAATTGGGAGAAATCGTGAAAGGCAAGTGAATAGTGATGGCGATGGGGTGGGGATTTGGGAGATTGAGAACTAGCTAGGGTTTTGACTTTTGAGAGAAGTTAGAGTGTTCCACTGGAAGGGAATGGGATACCACCCCCATAGGGGTTGTGATTTTCGCTTCCTCCTTCGCAGCCGTTAGATCCACTCTCTCTCTTGGTTTTTTAAATTAACGGTTTAGATTTAATGAAGGGTAGTTTTGGAAGAGAAAAACTACCACACAGGATCTTTTTATCATTTTCTATATAATCTGATTTTCTAAAAAAAAACTCTTCCTCTCTCCCCTCTCTCTTCCCTCTCTCGAGAACCCTAACTGCTCTATGTCTCTCCCTCCCGCCGTCGTCGTCGTCGCCGCCGCCACCCCATCCCGGTGCCACCATCGTCGTCTCTCCCTCCCGTCGCCACCGCCGCCATCTCTCCCTCCCGTTGCCACCGTCTCCCTCCCGCCGCACCCGTCGCGTCCTCCGCCTCCCACCACTGTCGCGTCATAACACTCTCTCCGTCGCAGCCCTCTCGCCTCCCTCCAACTCCTGTCACCGCCATCTCTCTCCCGTTCTGTCGGGTAGCTTGCGATTCTTTTGTGGATGTCGGTGGGTTTAGGATTTCAGATCTGGTCGCTTTCTTGTATATTGTTTCTTCATATATACACTGGTATCGATTTTCAAGACGAGTAGTATTGTTTCTTTAGATTTAGTAGTGTTTTACTAGTTATGCAATGTATTTTCGAATTTGAATTGTTAGTGATTCTCAAGATTAGTAGTGTTTCTTTTGTTAGTGATTCTTATGATTAGTAGTGTTTTCTTTATTAGCAATTCTCAAGTTCAGTAGTGTTTTTCTTGCTAGAGGATGAAGATTAGTAGTGGTTTTGAATTTCCGAGAAGAAACTCCCAAAATTAGGAATAGTAACTGTCGACTTGGCAATCCCACAAAATACGCCCCATTTTCGAAAATAATAAATAAATTTTCCTTTTAAACTTTTGGCTATTCAATTCCTATTATGCCCTTTTTGTATTTGTAGCCATCACATCAAAAATAAAATCAACCATTTAGATGCTAGTTATTATGGTGCTAACCCCCTATAGGGTTAGCACACTAGCTTCTCCCGACTGAAAGGGGGGTGGAAGTGAATGTAGGGGTTCTTAAATATCTTCATGACAGATTACCCAAACGTGAAACGGAGTCGTTTAGAGTCAACAAGCCAGTCAAAGTAGTTCTTAGAAGTTAATGATCCACGAATGGTATAGCCCAAAACAGGAAGTCAGGAGTTAATGACCCTCGAAACGGAACATCCCGTCAACAAGACGGTCAAAATAGTTCTTTGGAAATAATGACCCATGAAACGGAATAGTACAAAACACGAAGTCGGGAGATAATGATGACCCACAAATCATCACGAATAGAGAGGTGCAACGGTTCGATCCGGTCCACCAATTTTATAAGAACCGCGGTGCATTAGTGAAAGAAATCTTATAATCAATGACCGGATTATTATTGCGTTTGGTCCATTTGGTTCGGTTAGGTCCGGTCCAAATATAATTCAGTACATCATTTTTCCAGCAATTGTAAAATTGATGTGGACCAAGAATCGGATCGCATTATACTTAGTTCGGTGCGATCCGGTCCCGGACCGTACCATTACACACCCATACCCACAAAACGGAACAACCTGTAACTCCTACAAAACTTGCTCATTTTTTCCTTAAAAAAAAAGCTTGCTCCGGAACGGACCATTACACACCCATACCCACAAAACGGAACAACCCGTAACTTCTACAAAACATGCTCATTTTTTCCTTAAAAAAAACTTGCTCCTTACAAAATAGTAAAGCCCCGTCGTTTTTGTTTCTGTGCTCGGCGACGGAGCAGCAGTCGTATCATGTCAACTCCTCCGCGACGAAAACTTATCGGGTAAAAACATCTATACTCTGTGATCATAAAATTGGGAAAATGGAAGAGTGATTGTCAATACAAGGCGGTAGACCAGGGCTGGCCCTTGAAGTCATGGAGGTCATGTTCCGTAAATTAAATGTGGCCCTAATTTTTTAATATGATAAATTAAAAATTATGTATTAAATAAATAAATAATATTACATCATTATTTAGGAGTCGAACTAAAATCATTTGAATTTCTTCATATTTCGTATTTTCAAATAGATCATTTTCAATCGCAATCATAGCTAATCTATTAAGTATTTTATGTGTTTTGTAAAACGCAAATAGTACTTCAACCAAAGAGGAATAAAATCAAATCTTTGTATTTTGAAAATTTTGGCCAATTATTTAAAAAAGTTTATAGATTAGGCTAATAAATTGTGATTCGCCTATTTTAATTTTTACTCTCAAAATCAAGTAGGATAAGAAATTTATCTTTTTATATTAGTCCAAAATCGAAATGCACCATTGCCTCTCTACTACCTAAAATTTTGCATCCTATTTATTTTACTCGTTTTGCTGCTGCAAGAAATTGATTTTGCTATTCTTCTTTGAATTTAGTAAATTTGCCCATGATGGTTAAATTGTCTTTACCTTGCAGCATCCCTTCGCGTTTTTTATTATTTAATGCACAACCAAGACAAATAAATAAAAGTGAAGTTGGGTTGTGGACCATAGGTTTTTTTTTCTGAGTGATATCAATGCAAGAAAATAGTTAAACTTACAATTCTACCCAGGGCCCCTAACAGAATCTAAAGAACCACCCCAAAAAAATCAAAAGATTCTAGCTCTACACGAGACAAAAGCAGTTCTTTACGCGCCACTCTATGGGCAGCACTGTTGGCGGATCTAGGTACCGCCCTAAACTCTATACAAACAGACAAAGAGCTAAGGATCTGAAGACACTCTCGAAGCACCGGACCTCCAATCGAGTCTTCAATGACGCCTTGACGGACTTGGTTGACCACCACTTCGGAATCACCTTCGACTATCACGTGGGTCATGGATCTTGAGGCTACGATGGAGATAGCGTCTCTAAAAGCTGGATGCTCTGCCAGATTAGGATTGAATATTCCTTGATGCTGCAGTCCGAGCGCCAGCACCACATGCCCGTCTGACCCACGAATAACAAGCTCAGACGAACAACCGTTGGCACAAACAGCTGCGTCGACGTTGATCTTCAAAAAGTCTTCTGGTGGAGGGACCCAAGTGGCGGCAGGATGATTTGGGATAAGAGAGCTGCAGGGCGGAGGAGGAAGGAGAAGATTGGAAAATTCGAGGACCTGTTGTAGAACTGTCTGTCTAGGGAACGGACATGAGGTTGGATAAATTCGAAGGTCACTTTATTTCTAGACTTCCAGATTCTCCAAAGTAAACAGACGCATTGGAGAATGTGGAATGGGGAGGTCTCGGAGACCATGACATGTCGCCACCATAGACTAAAGTTAACAGTCTGGGCGGGCTCAATAAAGTTGCTCAATCCCACTAAAGTCCACAATATGATGGCTAGGGGGCATCTAAAGAATAAATGTTCAATGCTTTCTCGATGTCTCCAGCAGACAGGGCATCGGTTGAGACAGTTGACTCCACGAGTTTGAATGGCCACTACTGTGGGAAGTATGACTTTGAGGCATTGTCATATGAAAATTTTGAGCTTAGGCGGGACTTGGATATTCCAAGTCTTCTTTCAAATGGGAATTTTGAGCAATCCATTGCTGGTCAATCTGTTCTAGTATCAAATTGTTGCATTAATTAGGGCCTTGAGAGCATATTTGTTTGCGGAAGCCCTTTGAATACGCCCCATTATGCTGGCAAAAGCAACAACCTTGAAAGGCTCTCTTTATTAGAGTTTTAAAACACTCTAGCTCGTCATTAAGTAGACGATTTAAAAGCACAATTAAGGCTTTTCCGGCGCTAGCCGTTTCTGGCCATAAAGCCTTGTAACCGACTTGAGAAAAAGTGGTTACCAAATCCAATATTTTTTTGTCTTGTACCCGTGGTATATCAATATTATGGCCCTGCTCCTCCTCCTGCTGCCGTCGACCATAGGTTATTTTTAGTAAAGTTATATGTTGGTGAATTGGTCTGTTGTGGGCTTCTGGCCCATATGAATTTATATTTTTTTTTCTTCTAAAAGTCCTAACAATTCATATAAGTAGATGGGCTATGGTCCTAATTATTCATTTGCGGCCCTATGCTATAGGATCTATTTGTACAATTGCAAGATATGTTTGAGAAAAAGGTCATCAAATGAAAGTGAAATAGCCAGCAAGCAAGCCAAACTCACCTCTTTTTTCAAATGAAAAAGGTCACACTTTGAAATAGACTCGTCAAGGTTTAACAATTCATATAAGAAGATGGGATAAGGTCCTAATTATTATTTTTTGAGACCCTATGTCATAGGACCTGTTTGCACAAATGCAAGATATGTTTCAGAAAGAGGACATCAAATGAAAGTGAAATACCCAGCAAGCAGTCCAAATTCACCTATTGTTTCAAATGAAAAAGGTCACACTTTGAAATAGACTCATCAATGCTTGGCGAGAACAATCTTCCACAAGGTAATCCCTTCGAGCCAGCCCAACAGCACACGAGCGATGAAACTCTTGAACTAGGATCACCATGAATCGTGAAAAGCACTAATAAATGATAAAAACTCATACCAAGTACCAACCCACTTAAAGCAAGAGAAGTTTCCGTGTTTTAAACATTAACAGAAACATTGGAAGAGAGAAAATACCAGCTGGCAGTGCGAATCAACTGAGCCAAATCTCTAGGGAGCCATCCTCCCTAGCGACGGAAACTTGGGAGTCCTGATCCGGTAGCTAGGACTACAAATGGAGATGGCTTCTACTCAAGTGAGTTGTTCACGTCAGTCACTTCAGAATCTCAACCCTGCAACGACGTCTAGAGTTGAAGAAGTCCCTTCGAGAAGGATTTCATTAGCAGGCAGGAAAAACCAGTAATCGCAACTAATTCAGCAAATTGGGTAAAAAAATGAACCTCATTACAGGAAATAAAAAATGCAATTCATGACGTAGTTTTCTCTAACCAAATTGGGAGGCAC